GCTCAGGAGGCTGATAGACGCTGTTAATCACTTGTAGACGCTGCAGCAAAGTATGAACACAGTCCTAGTGAAACCACTAGGAGTGTCAGCGGCTCAAGGGTTTTGGCACAGCCAATCCCTTTCCTTTCATTCATGGAAGCCACTACGGTGAGGGCTGACGCAAGCGGCTCGCTGTCACGCCCCGACTAACTCAGCGACTGTAGACACCGCTTCTCACTACGCTCAGGATGCGGAAGGACCTCTACCAATGCACGTTTTTCGTGATCGCCGTTATTTCTCGCTTTCTCACACGACGAGAAACTGCACAACAAAAAACAAGGAACCCTTGACGACAACATTTATATGTCAGCATTCCCGATATGGGAGCAGATCAGTGGTGCAGAATGTGTGCCTTTCATCTTTATCAAGAAGAAACAACACAATGCCGATCAATGAAATTGAGTAAAAATTTTGTTACTGCCAAATGTCACAAATAATGCCTATCGAGAAGAACACGGGCAGAAACAGTCCGGCACAGTTAGGCAAACATTAGCAAGATCGTCATTTTAGACGTAGCAGAGCAAATGACAGATAATTACAAGTGAAATACCATAAGTAAGGGAGAATGGACGGGTTTGTGCGTTCTCCTCGTCTTCATCTACTGCGTCGTCGAGCAGTTCGCTATATGGAAATTCGTCTGTGGTTTGAAGATCAACAGTGACGGTTGCGTCTGGTGAATGCGAAGCAGTGCTTCCGCTTTCCGCATCAGTGGATCCATCTCCCTCCGTTATAATAGTAGTTCCATTACCGTCGCTGGAGGAGTCGCTATCGATGCTGCTACTGCTGTTACCGGCGCCGTCAGCAACAACAGTAGTCATGGAGTCGACTGCAGAAGAGTTGCCACCAGTGGTATCATTCTGGCCTTGTAAACTGACGAATTGTAGTGCACAGATCACGAACGCTGTAAAAACAAGGGTTAGAGGTGAGAATGTCTGAACCCTGGCATTGCGCCAAAAGTATCGAGAGGCTAAGCTTGCAGCCTGCTCGAAACGCTTAGCGAAGCCAGGGTCCAGAGTTAAGGCTCTGAAGGTACGAACCAAGTTCAACAGCAAGACGCTTCATTGCAGTGGTCACTGGACCCCGGAACCAATGGTAATATAGAATGTTCAACTCTACCCGAAGTCGCTTAAATACCATCACGACGTAAACACCGTAATCAGGGATATAACCATTGCATGTGATATTAGTCACCATTCATAAGTCATTCCATGGTTTCCTTTGAGTGCGGCGCGTTCTTGGGGCTTCTTCCTCACCTCTTCTTCAGGTCAGAATCCCGGGATCTACAGAGTGCTCAAAAACGTACACGTTGGTAAGATACAGATCGGAGCATACATTTTTGTGGTCATCACAATGGGAATTCGCTTCTAGGAGGGTTCATAAGAGCGTAGGTCAGACAACACTGAAGAAGAAGCCCGGGAGAGACATTAACGTTCAGGAATCTCCTGACGCCCAAGAACGGGGAAAAATTATGTAGAGTTACACCTTTCCACCACCCTGTGCATGAGTCGAATGCATGGCGCAACACACAGGAGAGCCCAGACGACGCCTGAATAAACTATTTTTGTTCACTCTTTTTGAATATTTGTTTTGAAAAAAATCCAAGTCTTCTAAGAAAAGGGAATTCTTATAGTGTAGTTCGCTGCGGACGGTTGGGCGTGTCAGGCGGGATGAGTTTGGCGCGGTGCCAAACCCGTTCTCCACCAGTTGTTGAAGCGAGCAAATGATATGACTGTATCATATCGTTCGTATTACTCGTTTCTACCACTTTTTGTCGCATGCGCGCTTCAACAAGAAGGCAGAGAACGGCTTGACGGCATGTCGCACTCATACTGCTTGACACGCCCAACCGTCAGCAGCGAACTAGAGAATACGAGGGGAAGTGAGCTTTTCGAGTGGCTCAAATCTCTCAGATCGATTCCCAAGGGGAACGCCTGGTCCGAAATCAGGAATTTCTCTCTGAAAGATGGGTCACCCACATTTTGAAAAGTTTCTTTCCGTATGATGCAGAAACCACCCGCTAAAGCCGCCTATCGTGCACACACTGGTAGGTTGGGCTACACTAGAAAAATACTGGTAGCAGCTGCTGCATTCAGATATGTGCCGTCTTGGTGTAGTGAAGTGGTGCAGGGTGCGGTAAGTGTGTCACTTTCCGCTACACCCGCCACTTCGACATGTATAGCAGCGTTCAGACTTCGCGACGGCGGCGCTTCGGTCGCGCGTTCGAGCGATCGATCGCGCTAGCGTACGACTGTGTAGCGCGACTGATTAGATCGCGCTCCAGTGCTAAAATCGACTGGACCGATGCTAATTCACATCCGTATACACTGACTTCTTACTTCTTTCTCCTCTTTTTAGCTTCTAGCTCCCTTTCAGTCTTTTTTCATCTTCCTGTCAGTATTTTCCTCAATCCGTTTCTAATGTTTTGTGGGTTGTTATACTTTTTTTGTAATTTAACACATTCAAATTTTCCCAGATGGATGGCCGTGTTGAGTGCGCGCGCTTCCTTATTTCTAGGTGAGTTTTTCAGGTTAACTGTGGGAGCCAGAAGCTAAAAAGAGGATCTAGTCAGTCGCGCTGCACAGTCGTACGCTTGCGCGAGTGACGCAATCGTACGCCCGAGCAATCGATCGTTCGAACGCGCGACCGAAGCGCCGCCGTCGCGAAGTCTGAACCTTGCAGAACTGGCGAATCATGGAAATTGGAGAATTGGAGAAATCGCGAGGAGGAACATGCAGTTGGTATTATCGCTCAGTCGGGTCGATTTCAAAAGGAATGTAGGAACCCCACCTGCGTCGTTCCCACCACTGGTTGTTTTCTTCCCAAACTGATCACTAGCCGATCACCATTGGTAGAGCAAGGCAGCCGAGGCGGGCCCATCCCGCCCTTCTCACACCGCCCCCGACTGATTACTATGTTACAAACTGTAAACGTATCGATCAGGAGAATCGACATACTGAATCGACCACTGAACGGTTCCCCTCATTGATACGCATCTAATCTACGACTCGTCGATTCTCCAGTTTTCCGGATTCTCTCGATTCCGCGACTTGTCAATTACCCGGCTCTCCGGATCGGTACATAA